GATTGACAATTTGGTGAGTGGGATAGTAGGTTTTTTACTTATCTCCTTATAAATAGAATTTTTTTGATATCTTATAATGATTACGAATTATGACACAAGCTTTTCATGGTTTGATCGATTTTTTGATGGAAAAAGTAATTTTTGATCTGTTCAAGATCAGTATCGAGAGGTGGGTAAGATAGTGGGCGCCCCAATTGTTGCTATGTCGTTATAAAGCTTTGTCACCTATAGAACTTTGACAGAAGCTTTTCATTGTTTGATAGGTTATTTTGAAAAAGACAGTTTTACATATCCAATATTAATGATAAATCATTTTATTGTAAATAAGAATGGAAATAATGAGACAAGTTTGGACTGATGACTGATGACTATCTGTATCGAAAATTTGTCGGGTGAGAGAGTGGGTGCCATAATTTTTTTTGCTGTCTCTATAAAACTTTGACTACTATAGAACTTAAACAGAAGTTTTTATCGGTTGATAGATTAATAAGAAGCCAGTTACATATTCTCTTCCAAATAAATCTAGGTACCAAAAAAGAATGGGAACGAGAGGGAAACACCTCCTTTAAGAATGGCACCATCCTTTGGTACACAGATGGATCTAGAACACAAGAAGGTACACGGGCAGGAGTATTTGGACCTGGAACCAAATACTCAGAACCCATGGGAAAATACACCAGTATCTTTCAAGCTGAGATTCACGCAATCGAAAGATGTACTCAACTCAACCTGAATAAAGGGTACAAAAACAAGAGCATAGCCAAGCAGCCATCAAAGCACTAAGTTCAAATATTAGTTCAAGGATGGTGCTGAACTGCAAAACCAAATTAAACATATTAGGTGCGCAGAACAAAGTCAGCCTTTGCTGGGTCCCAGGACACATGGTAGTAGAAGGCAACGAGAAAGCGGACACCCTTGAAAGGCAAGGAGCTGCTACACCGCTGACAGGACCTGAACCCTTGTGTGGTATAGGAACCCACAGTATTAATGAGTATCTCAGGCAGAAGGACAAAACGAAAATGAAGGAACAATGGAATTCACTCATTGGACACAGGCAATCCAAGAATCTATTAACAAATTTCGGAAGAAAAGAAATTACCGAATGTGTCATAGGAAGCAGGAAGAAACTGCGAATCCATTTAGGATTCTTAACAGGACACTGCAAGTAAAATGGACACTTAAAGAAGTTTGGAGTAATCCAAGACGGCACATGCAGATTCTGCAAAGAGGCAGAGGAGACACCAACACATCTACTAACAAACTGCGGTGCTACACTTGCCAGGATGAAGTGTTTTGGGATGTACAATGTGACCTAGAAGAGCCACTGAAACAGGGCCTATTATAATCAAGTTTCTTGATGAAATAGGACTCACTGATGTGCTTTAGGCAGAGAACGGGAGATACAATAGCTCTTAAAGGATATATTACACCCCGAGTATTACATCTATATCTACATATTCTCTCACTTTTAATTTTTAATAATAATAAATTATTTTAATTTAAATAATATTGGAATAACAAGCTTTGAAGTTTGGACTGACGACTATCTTCAACGAGAATTCGGTGGGTGCCACAACTATTGCTGTCCCTTTAAAATGTGCCTTTTCGTCATCATTGATTAAACGTATCTTATTTTCACCAATGTGCGTACTGTTTTTTCTAAGCTTAATTTAATCGTGTTTGCGACAGTAGAGATAATTGTTTGCCCGAATGGAAATCCACATTAACAAGGTTCCAATTATTCCTTCTACACCATCATGTTCCTGTTTTAATAAATTTTGGGCTTTTCTTATGCCATATTTTAGAATAATATTGTTATACAGAGTGCGCTTTTCATCCCACGCTGATCTGAAAATGGATCGTTATCTTAGCGCGTTGAAAGCAAGTCTAAAACAAATGCGGTTACCAGGACACCTCTGCCAAAGCCTCTTATGCCTAGAATAATCAACTTATTCTAGACAAATATTTATATTTAATAATCATCAGTATTTATGGTTGAAAAAATCACCTCGGTTTATGATACAGGGTAGTTTATTTAACGACAAAGATGTAATAAAGTTTATTATTTTTGATCTCGAGAGTGCTAAACAACTCTCTGAGTGATATTTTTCTTAAATCCGAGCCATTTTTCTCAAGAGAACGATTAAATAAAATATGGTGCACAGGTGTCGATCTGAGGATGACAAATTACCGGTTCGACTGAATCGAGTCGCACCCTGCTTCAACCGGCCATTGTTACCATTTTCAAAATAAAACCTAGTTCTGATCTAAATAGGCCTACTGTCATCGAAATGAGTCACATATCGATCTGCCTTAACTTCCGGTGTAGTTACTATAACGCGCAGTTGTGTAACCTGCAGCGCTGATGTTTTGTAGACCGTAAGCATCTATGAGGCAACTTTTGATCGATGCCCGTTTAAAGTAATGAATTATGAGAAAGTACTTTTGTTACTAGGAAGAACGGGGGCGAGATGAATAGAAAGTCTCTTTACGCCTTTTAAATATGTGCTTATTGTTTTTTACATTAATTATCTTCATTAATTATAAAGAAAATGTAAAGTTTTTCTACTCTTCTGATTTTAAATATTCAAATTGCTTTTTCCTTGAATAAAGTCTTTTAAGCCAAAACTTGGCTTACAATTAGTAAATTAAGCTTTGGAAACAATGGAACGAAATATAATACCTATATAATAAGTTTGGAACAAGAGCCAGTGGAATTTTCTTGTAAAATAGTATAATTTGAAGGTTTAGGCATAAAATTACTTTATTTTAAAGGAATAGGTTTTTAATGTATGTTTTCCGTTTATTTTGAGAATTTTGAGCCTCATTTATACAACAATTTTGACCGGGATTTTATTTTTCTTTGACCAAAACAGGGTATCGCTGTTTGAACGTAGCATTTCAGAATTATACGAGAAAGTTGCGATCTTAGTATGCTGTTCCACCGTTGAAGCTTATTTTAACATTTGACAGATTATCCTTTAGATGACGCATAGAAAAAGAGAAGGGACTAGCTGTGGACGTTATCAAACGCAGACCTTTGATGACAAAGTTGACGACCTTTTGGTTCAAAACTGTAACCTACATGGGTGTCAAACTGGATCCAATACTAAATTTCACTGAACTGACAAAACCGTGTACGAAAAGGCAAAGCCGCTATCGCAGTCCTGTTCCCATTACTTAAGACAACCAGTCATGAGCATAAAGAACAAACTCATGACCTCCTACATCATCGTGAAACGCATGTTGCTATATGCCTGTCCTTCTGGGAGTCACACAAGCCAATAAAACATAAAAAACTCCAATACGGAACAAATTTCTGCACCTTGACACAGGCGGTAGTTGACATGTAAAAATAACTGCGCTTCATGAAATCACGAACATATGTATTGGAGAAGAGGTACAAGGAACAGCTACACAATTCTTGAGGAGTATAAAATATCCAAAAAGAAGTTATGTCGTTCCACTGGAGCATGGCGCAAAACAAACGATTTAGATCAAGCCAGCCAAAATAGTGTACCCACCTTGATTTTGTGACTGATCAATTTATTAACTGTTCAACACCTATATTTGTGCGCTTTTTATGCCATAAAATTATAATTTAATATGTCAAAGGATGTTGTAGCGCGCAGAGAGCTTTCCCTTTTCTCATGTTTTTCAATTTATATACGATTGAAACATTGTAAATAATTTCTCTCTCAACAGAGACGGGGTCAACATGATGCCAAGATAATTGTATTTGCGGACACCTCAGTCTTCTCGTTTTGAAGAAAGCCATTGCTCTCTTGATGCAAGTTTTCAGAAACTCATTATCTTTGATTTTTTAGTAAGGTTGTTTGCAGTTTTTCTAGTTGAATTATCATACTTCGAAAATATTTTCGATTATCAGCAACCACGGCTCCGTGTTAGAAGCATTTTTTCATCTAAGTTTTTTTTTAAGATGTCGTTTTGGAAGATACTGAAGAGCCAAGGCCTCAAAGTCTTGTTTTACCCCTATCTTGGTTATATCATACTGATGAAGTTCCGTCCTTGTAAATGTTTAAATGGCTTGAATTTTGATGGAGATTCCTAGTGGTGCAACTTGTAGAAAAATTAAGTCCCTATTTGAGTCAACTATTTAAGCTCTTTTAAGTCGACAAAAAATCAATGCAGTTCCCTTTTTTTAATGGTCATCCTTAACATTGCCATGGTAATAACTACTAGGATGAATCTGCAATGGCATACCCTACTAAAAAGTCTTAAAATTTCCCCACTTTGTTAATAAACGTGATTAAATTTAAAAAATACGAATGTTTGGTTTTGAGGTACAAGGTCTTTCTTAGATGTCTGTAAATATTAGGGTTTTAGGTTAATCCTTTAATGTACCTGAGCTTTTCTTGTTTCCTCAGACAAAAGCAGTGTATCGCTGCGTTAAAACCACATTACAATAGGCTTAACGTAGTAAGGGTTTTTATTGTATTGTAAAATTTCAAGTTACATGAATCTACCAATTTTGAACTGGATTATTTTAATTTCCTTTGACTAAAGCAGTGTACCGCTGCGTGTAAACCGAATTCCAAAAGAACAATAATCCTGACAAGTCAGGGGGACAACATCATGCCTTTTTTTCAGATTTGTTTCACATCCCAACATGAACCTCTGAACTGTTGCGAATTATCCGAGGAATAGTTCGTTTGAAATTCATAGGGTCTTCAGGCGATACTCGGATCGCACTGTGCAGATTTTAGCATGACCGTTTCGTGTTTTTTATTTTTTTGTTTTAAATTTCCACTGACCATAGAAATGGCCAAACAAAATATGATTGATATATTAAACAGTGATTGGATAGGTGTGCCATGAGTGGATTGTTTATTCCCCTCCATTTATCCACATTTTATTTTTTAGAAAATTATTGCTCATTGGTATATTTAATTTATGACATACATTTATTTGGTACATTTCTATTTTGAAATGTAATCTATTTATTTGTCTATATTTCATTTATTTGTTTTATTTTGCAGATATTAGGCGCTGTGGTGCTAGCAACGGGGGTATGGCTCTACGCGGACAAATCCTCTCTACTTTCGTTCACCAGACTTGTCCACGAATTTCCAAAGGTAAGTGAACGCATAGAGGAAGATTTTTCCGAAAGATTAAAAGCATGGGAATGCTTGAAACGGAAGTATTTAACGTAAGAAGGCGTAAAGTCCGCGAAATTAATGATGCTTTGTAAGTGTTAGCTGTTGTTTAATAATCTTCCTCACGATTATTCCACATATTCTTCGCCTAAGGCTATGTTCTGTTTTTTCTTTAAAGAAACAATTCTTAAACGACGTTTTAAAAGCACGTAAACTAAGAATTTCATCGAGGAGAAAGTGCAATTTTGAAGTTGTACAAATTTGTTCCAAAATATGATCTTGAGTTAACTTAATTTAGTTGATAACGCTGAGGAATACTCTGATCGTGGTAATCTGAGACGTTATTGGAAAACAAAGACTATTGAATGTTGAAGAAATATTGTCGCCCAGTGAAAGAGGTTGCATTCAAAGGCTTTATTATTAAGTTCCAGGCTTCAAGATGTGTTTAACTTAGTTCATGAGCATCAGCGATACTGAATCACTCGACAGTGACGGCTTAGCGGCCTCTTTTCCTTTTGCAAATGTCACCGTAAGCTGATATCATAAAAAAGTGTCCTGATTATCCAGCTATGACTACATCAACATGATTTGGCTGTAAGTTAAGCCAATGAACTCCTGACCTATTTTTAAGTGATTGAAAGTGGACATATTCGGGAAATGTGTCCACATGTGTGCCCTAAACAAACGATTCAATCTGAAATATTCTGAGATCGGATTAACAAAAGCTCACGCTTTGCTTTTTGCGGAAGCTGTGAATCACTTTGAACTTGTAACGGATGGCAGGGTTATTGACGTGAAAGAAAAAATTTGCTTTTTTATAATAATGTAATATAGCAATACACCAGCAAGACAAAAGTCATGGGCATCTTTGACGTTTGAACCAGATTTCACATAAGTGAAAGGAGTCAAGGCCTTGCCTTACCCTCCTTATAACCCAAACCCCCTGCAATCCAATTGGGCGAGTTAATATCAAATTACGACGCGGGGTTTTTTTTTTTTTTTTTTTTTTTGCTTTTTAGACTTCTAGATTCCAATTAGAAATAGGAAAATAAAATAATGGTTTGTAACGTATTCCGAGGAGTCGAATTCATTTTCAATTAAATGGTGTATGTCTTTATCATTGGCTCAATCTGTAATTATGAATTTATGATTTTCATGTGACGGACTGTTTTAACTTTGTATGCTGTACTTGTTGAGATTGACTAATCCGAATGTTATGATGAACTATTTATAAGTATCTGCGGTTTTGAATATGTTACAGGTTTCGCGTGTCTTGATACTTAATATGTCATGTTCTAGATTATTTGCAAGTGAGAAAAACTAACTAATCGGGTGTCTCTGTCTATTTAATGGGGGAAACTGGTACTGCTTCATTATTGCGAGAACGGTCTTCGATGGAATAGTGTTTTCTCGCTTGTTTTGTCCCATTTCGCTCGGCCGGTTCTTAATCCGGCAAATCGAATTATCCCGAACGGGGCAAATAGACAAGAGTGCTTTTGTGCTCTTCGTCAACCGACCGGGTAAGCCAAACTGAGAGGAACTACGCTCCGTACGTTGTTTTACGCAATTAACGGATTGTCGGAACAACGAGTTAGAATTTCCTGAACAGGATGGTTACACATATGATGATCCTTTTTGAAGACTTGGTCCGGTTATGTGGATACGTCTGTACAAACTACTGTGATCAAGACGCGCTGAACCAGAAAATTCACAAACTTCATATAACATAACTGTAGAATGTGAAAGCAGCGACTTTTCATTTTTATAAAAAACTATTTACAATGAAACAAGTTTAAAGTGGAATTATTTGATGAAACAACTTAACAAACTGCTTGTCTTTATCAATGAATTAAACCAAAGTCGGCAAGGTTAATTTCACAATATACATCCGTGAACAAACTGGTCTGCCTATCTTCGCTATACTTTTTACATAAACCTACGAAAATACAAATTATACAACATAAAATATAATAATAAAACATAATTTTACACCTTGAACGATCTAGAGTTCGAATCATTTAAAAGGAGATAAGCAAGTGTTTGAGCAATATTTGAGCTTTATTTGCATTAATTTGTCCTACTGTTCGTTTATTTTCTTTTGGCTGCTAGTCTATTTTCATTTCGTTTGGTGTTTTATTTGTGATTGAACTTAAAAGCAGTTTACTTTCTTTATTTTTTGTTTAGTTGGGAAGGCCTTTTCGAGCTCCTCCTACGTCAATTCGGCTGTTTTTTAAAAAATATTTTCTACTAGAAAGGAATAAAGCCAAATTAAGGAAGAAGGATATTAGGGAAGCTCGAAAAGGCTTGCCAACCAAATAAAAAATGTAGAATGTAAGCAAATTTTTTATTTTTTATATTTACATATTTTTATTACGGTTATTTTTTTAAAGGTCTATTTGTATACTCTGGGTTCGAATTCAGGGTCGCTGCGATTCGATCACGGAACTCTACAGTGATGCCTGGTCAACCCTCTAGATAGATTGATATCATATTGGAACCGACTACAACAAACTTAGTCGTATCTATCACATTGGAAAAGTCTTGTACCCGTTTGTCCCCCAGTAGTGAATTTTGAAAGTAGAGTAAAGTAAGTGATTAAACATAATGATCGTTTATAAATCCCAGGCCCTGAAGATGATCTCAATAAAGATCGAAACGTTGGTACGATAAAGAAAATGTTTTTCTAAAACCTACGTCACACCAGACCGCATCTCACGATCTCCACATAATCATTAATTAACGGTCACTAAACACCAAACAGTAGATGTAACTCTCATAATTATTACAAATTTGAGAATAAATGTAAGAAAATTCGCAGAAAAAGACGCACTCTAGTCATAGGTCGCAAGCAATAAATCCGAACATGTTGGGATCGAGTCAGAGGTCTGAACTGAACTGAGAGGGCTTACATTTATTAGGTTGGGAGAGCTTGAAGGAATACGAACGACCAAAAATCGCACATAGTCTGTTTCAGTGTGAGAGGGCTGATAATATTCCCTAGGCTGGGGATGTTTGTACGAAGTAGTGTGAATACGAACGACTTTTGAATTTGACGGCTGATGATTACAGTCCCATGTTTGAGAAATCTGTACGAATTTGTGCGAATACGGCCGACCAAAAATCATACGTACTCGGTTTGAATGAAAGTGTCCATACACAATTCAATATCTTAAATCTTTCCTTAAAATTGCCGATAAGTAAATCTGTAAAACGGACAATCCAAAAGGGCGTCGGTGGCCGCAACGGTTTAGGCGTTGACACGGCGCCCATCACTATAAGTTAAAGGTCCCGGGTTCGAATCCAGCGGCCCTGCATTCGAACCCGACATACTTTCAAATGGGCTTTTTTTTAAACATCGAATTCCGAGAGTTCATATAACCTTCTAGTTAAAATACCCACATAAAAAAAAAGAAAAAAAAAAAATCAGAATTTTCTTAGGATAACGGTTCAGAGTCTATAAACCAGCGATATTAAGCGGACCGGAAACGATAATTGATGATTAAACGGGTGACGACATTTTCAACTATTACGACTTGTTTATTCATGCGATCATCCAGCCTTTTAATATCCTGTCACAACAAGAAAGGAAAAAGCGAAATTCCTGTGCCTTTCGCTTGACAAACTACGGCTTCGCGTGTGGCAAAGCGCCTGAAATAAAGTTATCAAAACTAGATCAAATTGGAAGTGCATCCAATTTAAGTATGTTGCAATATTTCAAAGATAAATATTTTTTTTTATTGGAAAGTTTCACTTTTATCATTGTTAATTAATTCATGCCTCGCCCGTGCCCAAGCGTTAGTTCGCGACGGAACGGCCTCCGGATGCTTAGCGGGACCCCAGTTGCGTGACTTGTGTAATTCTTTCAGTTTTACACAGCGAAACACGATTTTCTTACTTTCTGCCTCCAGCCGTGGAGAAGAACGGGCCAGACGGTTGTTTACTTCTTAATTATATTCTGTTTTTCTCCTGAGCCTTCAACCACGACCTCACCAGATGTGTATATCTATGAGTTTATAAACGCATAACATAATGTCTTTTTTTTCTATTTACAATCCGTAAAACTTGTATTCTTGCGCTATTTGTCAGTGAAAATTTAATAAGGATGAGTACTTATGTTATTTTAATATACGTGTAACTCAGAACGGAGAAATAAGTTGGGTAATTTTAAGTACTCTTTTTTTAATAATTAATTCGGTTTCAAACTTGTTTTAATTCTCCATCCAAAAGCGGTTTAATCCCCAGGGGTTAAATACGGAATTAAAAAAGTGTTCCAGATATTGGGCATAGTATGCTTTTTGGATTCTAAAAAACAACGCGATTGTAGTCATTGAACATTTTAAAGTGGTACTTTAAAGCGATAAGGGAGTTTCGAAAAGGATTTTCTTTTTTTTCCACTAACACTAATGCTGCGCCCAGAGGACATATGCCATGAGAAGCCAGCCAATGCTGGCTCTCACAATTGTGTGGAGGATTAAGGGCAAGGAGGTCTCGAGGTCGTGTCGATTAAGGCAACATAGCGGGTTCTCGGGATGGGAATGCTTGGACAGGGCTTGGGTTAGGATGGATCGAGGTTGGTATGGAATCGGGAACGGATCAGTTCGAACGAAAGTTGAGGTAGTTGTGGATAGTGAGGTACATGACATAGTAACGAGCTTTGTCGATTGTCTGAGGACTTTTGATCGGAAGGATTGGATGCGCTGGATGTTGGATGACTTTGCCGGATCCCAAAGTTCAACTCCGTATGTCCAAAGTGGTCGCATTAAAGCCTTGCATAAGATTAGTTTAGTATTGAAGGTAAGATAGATTTCCATTCTAGAAGTCTTCGTTGTCCAAGTCTTCTGTTAAGTTGTTTCTTTCCGGTCGGTTATCGGGGCTTTAGGCCGGGAACACTTACCCGATGCTACACCATGCAACGCTACCCGACGCAAATCCAAACTCCGATTTTCCATAAGGTTGTATTACCCTCGTGCACATCTACC